GTGTGTGTGTGTGTTTCTGTTTGTGCGTGTGTGTCTATTTGTTATGGGTTGGTGATGGAGAAAGTCCTCATCTTTCTTACCATGAAATTTTAGAAATTTTCTAAAAATAAATTAAAAAAATCAAAAGAGAGTCATTATTTAGAAATATGAATATAAATTTCAGAAGAAACTTCTAGAATGTTTCAGCATGGCCACCTTTGTGGAGTGTGAGGATGAGAGAGAATATCATTTCAAGTTTCAAATAAACATATGCACACAATACACAAATCTGCCCATACATATAGATCTGTTAGTAGAATTAAAGTTTTAAAACGTTATGTATTATTCTGATACAACATTAATTTGATTTTTTTCTTTCTTCAAGAACAGTAATTTCTTGAGTTTATAATATACTAAATATTTATATTTTGAAGCATTTTATCATTTATATTTGTACTGATTATCCTGTATGCTAATATGTAGGTGGTTACAGATTTATCTTAATACTTAGCTTGTAGCAGAGTTAGATGTATCTATAATGTAGTAATTTCTTCTCTAAGTCTAGGTGTACTTTCAGTCCTATAATTTAAGTTTATAATGATGTTGGGACCCCTTCATTATGCTTCTTGTAACCTGAATTGCTACAGCAAATGTGCCATTTTTGTCCTTTTCCATCATTTCTTACTTGTGTCTTACCAGCTAAAGTCCAGGAAGAGATTGAATGTGTGGTTGGCAGAAACCGGAGCCCCTGCATGCAGGACAGGAGTCACATGCCCTACACAGATGCTGTGGTACACGAGATCCAGAGATACATTGACCTCATCCCCACCAACCTGCCCCATGCAGTGACCTGTGATGTTAAGTTCAGAAACTACCTCATCCCCAAGGTAAGTTTGTTTCTCCTACTCCAGACCTCCATGCTCTTGAAGGTCCCAAATTCATAGTATGGTCCCAATCCTCTAACAACACACGATGAGAGACATGTAAAATTCATACTTGGGGCAGCTTTCTGGACTCTGCTGTTTCCATTCCAGTTTGGTCCTATGAAGGTTTATAACAGTTCTCAGTATCTAGCAGTTTATGTCTTCCAAATTTGTTCTGCTTCTGTAATAATTTTTTGTGGCTATTCTCAGGTGTTTACATTTCCAAATAAATGTTTAAAGTATCAATTTGTCAATTTCCCAAAACACTGTGCTGGGATTTTTATCATGGTGACATTAAATCTTTAGATCAATTTAGAAAGAATTGATGTCCTGACAAGCTGAATCTTTCAATTCATGGATATGATTATGCTCTTAATTTATTTGGACTTTCTTCTATTTTGTCAGTAATGTTTTGTCTTCAGTTCAGTGGCTTTCACATGTATTATATTTTTTTCTGAAATAAATGATATTTTGATGTAATTGTAAGTTGTGTATATAATATATAATAATAGATATGTAATATATAATATAAAATAAATATATATAATATTAAAAATATTTTCAAAACAGAGTCTTGCTATGTTGCACAGATTGATCTTCTGGCTCAAGAAATCCTCCACCTCATCCTCTTGAGTAGCTGGGATTAGAGATGTGTGCCACTGCACCTGGCTTTTAAATAGTATACTCAAAAAAATGCCTTTCCATTTCTTTGTTTCTGGTACATTGAAATATAATTGATTTTATTATTTTGATGATCTTACATCAAGCAAATTTACTTAGCATTGCTAATGTTTTGTTTGTAAATTTATTTGTAATTTCTATGTATCCTCTGATCTGTTTTAATATTTATTTCTTATTTTTCAATTCTTATAACTCAATTTTCTCTTTATTGCTTTATTTCACGGTTAGGATTTCCAGGACAGTGGTGAATAATTCATTATGGTGGGAATCCTTGTTTCATATATGATGTTCAGGATGAGTGGAGGTTTAACATCTCACCAGTGAGAATAATGTTTTATGTATATTTTTGTAATTAAAAAATCAGATTAGAGAAGGTTGTCTTCTCCTACTTTTGATGATTTTTTTCTGGTCATGAATGTTTATACAATTTGATCAAATGGAGTCTCTGCATCAATTAATATGGCCATATATTTTGTCCTGCATATACATATAATATATGTATTAGTTAAAATACACACAAATGCACACACAGAGACATACACAGCTGGATTTTATTTGCTATGTTTTTTCAGGTTGTTTGAACTTATAAGAGACATCAGTTTGCAATTTTTCTTCCTCAAAATTTTCTTGTCAGATTTCTGATATTGAGGAAATGTTGGCTTTATAAAATAAGGAAGATAATGTTCCCTATTATGGTTGTTTTTATAACCTTTTCTCACTCTCTATTCTTTTTGTGCTCACTTAGTTCTGTCTTTGCAGTGACTCATAAGTTTTGGTTAAGTGCCAGTTATGACATATGAAAAAATGCAGAACGTCAGATGAAGTTTGTCTTCTTCCAGAAAGGGTTCATCCCTCCTGTGCTAGGCAGACAGAATTATGCAACACCTTCTACCTTCATTCAGAATTAGATATGAACACAGTTGAAAAAATTTTTTTTTCAATTTTTTTATTATACTTTAAGTTCTGGGATACATGTGCAGAATGTGCAGTTTTGTTACTTAGGTATACATGTGCCATGGTGGTTTGCTGCACCCATCAGCCTGTCACTTACATTAGGTATTTCTCCTAATGTTATCCCTCCCTTAGTCCCCCCTACCCCCTACAGGCCCTGGTGTGTGATGTTCCCATCCTGTGTCCTTATTGTTCAGCTCCCACTTATGAGTAAGAAAATGCGGTGTTTGGTTTTCTGATCTTGTGATAGTTTGCTGAGAATGATCGTTTCCAGCTTCATTCATGTCCCTGCAAAAGACATGAAATCATCTTTTTTTATGGTTGCATAGTATTCCATGATGTACATGTGTCACATTTTCTTAATCTAGTCTATCATTGATGGACATTTGGATTGGTTCCAAGTCTTTGCTATTGTGAATAGTGCCACAATAAACATATGAAACACAGTCAGAAATTGACTGTAGCCATCAGCTGACCTCTCTGAGGTTCCCCTATGTCTGCAACCCTGAGTAATTTTTGTCTCAGCAGCTTTTCCAGTGCCTTCTAACACATGGCTTCTGTGTTTACTGAGACTTTTTAGTTGCTATGCTGCAAGTTGCTCCATTCCACTTGAAGCAAGTACATATTGCCATTTAAAGAAATAAAATAACAAAAATTTAACTTTGAGAGGAAAAAGGATTGGAGTTTGTTAAGGATGAAGTCACTATTGCCATCTTATAGGGAAGAGGGAATTCTGAATGTCTGTATTGTGCCGTGTGGAATCCACTAGACGCAGGTACCTATTGAGCAGCGGAAATGTAATGAATGCAACTAAGGAACTGGAATTAACATTTTATTTAGTTTTCATTACTTTAAATTTAAATACAAATAATCATGGATTATTCATGGCTACCATGCTACACAACACATATCTAAGTTTTTAATTTTCTGTAACACAGGGTTGGAAATATCTCATTCTCAATTATGCAGTACTAAAAGTCTGAATAGCTAAAAACAATTTAAGGTGGGTGCAATTTCATTTGGCTAAACCTTTACTTGCATGGATTGAATGTATTTTTATTCCTATTTATCATACTTTGTATAAATATTTATGTTTTGCTAAAGAAAAGGCCAGCCAGGTGTGGAGGCTCACACTTGTAATCCCAGCACTTTGGGAAACCAAAGTGGAAGGATCATTTGCACCCAGGAGCTGGAGGCCAGCCCGGGCAACATAGTGAAACCCTATCTCTACAGAAAATAAAAAAAATTAGCTGGGCGTAGTGGCATGTGCCTGTAGTCCCAGCTACTTGGGAGGCTGAAGTGGGAGGATTGCTGGAGCCCAAGAGGTTGAGGCTGCTGTGAGCTATGGTCATACCACCGCACTCCAGCCTGGGTGACAGAGCAAGGCCCTGTCTCAAAAAAAAAAAAAAAAAAAAGGAAAAAAGAAAAGAAATATCATGTATTCAATTATTTGGTATCTCCCCACTCCCACATTATTGGGAGTATTAGAAAATCTATAGCAACTATTATATATCATAATATCTTTCTGGAATGAATATATTTATGTGTAGGCATATAGTATACATATAATATACAGAAATGTTTATACATCTACATTTTACTCTGTACATTTATCTGTATTTATCTATCATCTATCTACCTTTGTAATCTAATCTGTCACATTTAACACCTAAGTACTTCGGTATATAATTCCCCAAAACAAGGACTTTCTCCTACACAATAATAATAATAACATTCACACTCAATGAATTATTATCAATAGGTTAATATTATCTAATATCTTACAATTACATTTTCCCAGTTATACTAAAATATCTCTTATAGCTTTTTTTTGGTGGACTTCCTGTAGTCCAGTCAAGGAACAAGCTTTTAATTTGGTTATCTTGTTTTGTTAGTCCTCTCTCATCACTAACAGTTTTTTTTAGTTTGTTTCAATTTAATACACTGACAGTTTTTAAAAGTCCTGTCCCCTTGTTATGTAAAATGTTGCTCAGTCTGGTTTTGTTTGAATGCTTTTTTGACAATTAGATTCCAGTTATGTGTTTTTGGCAAGAAAGTTAGGTAGGTGATGTTATATATGTGCTACTGCATCACATGTGTGGTCCACATTTTGTAACGGTGTCTGCTAGTCTCTCCATTGTTGGGGTTCTGTTTTTCATATACAGTTAATAAAAAGATGGCATGGTACTTTAAGATCTTGTGAATATTACTTTCCAAATTAATTTACCCAGTAGTTTTAAAGTTAATGGATGATCCTTGCCTGAATCTATGGTCCTACCTGAATGGCTGCAAAAATGATGATTTTTCTACTTTTATCATTCCTTCTGTGTTTTTTAGGTTGGGTTCATCTATAATGAAGAGTTCTCCCACATGTTTTAATGAAAAGACACGTATAACATTTCTGTGATCAACCCTTCAATTGATTTTAGTGTACTTGTTGATATTATCTCAGAAGTCATTTTTAATAGATCAGACCTCCATTTAAAAAAACCCTATGAACAGATTCCAAATTCTCCTGACTCTTTAAGCGCTAGCAGAGGCTTCTATTTAAAAATCTTCATCTGGAAGTCCTTGTCAGAGCAATCAGGCAAGAGAAGGAAAGAAAATGTATTCAAATAGGAAAAGAAGAAATCAAACTATCTCTCTTCACTGACGATATGATTCTACACCTAGAAAGCCCTGAAGACTCTGCCAAAAGGGCCCCTGGAAGTGATAAATGACTTCAGTAAAGTTTCAGGATACAAAATAAATGTACAAAAATCAATAGCATTTTTACATATCAGTAACGTTCAAGCTGACAGCCAAATCAAGAACGCAATCCCATTTACAATAGCCACAAAACATTAAATCCCTAGGAATACATCTAACCAAGGCAGTGAAAGATCTCTATAAGGAAAACTACAAAACGCTACTGAAAGAAATCGTAGATGACACAAACAAATGGAAAATCATTCCATTCTCATGGATTGGAAGAATCAATACCGTTAAAATGGCCATACTGCCCAAAGCAATCTACTGATTCAATGCTATTCCTATCAGACTACCAGTGTCTCTTGTAAAATTCATATGGAAACAAAAAAGAGCGTGAATAGCCAAAACAAACCTAAGCAAAGAGAGCAAAGCTGGAGTCATCACACTACGAGACTTCAAACTATGCTATAAGGCTACAGTAACCAAAAAAGCATGATACTGGTACAAAAACAGACACACAGACCCATAAAACATAATAGAGAACCCAGAAATAAAGCTTCATACCTACAGCCATCTGATCTTCAACAATGCTGACAAAAAATAGACAGTGGGAAGGGACTCCCTGTTCAATAAATGATGCTGGGATGGCAGGGTAGCCATATGCAGAATGAAACTGGACCCCATCCTTTCACCATATACAAATATGAACTCAAGATGGATTAAAGTTTTAAATGTAAGACATCAAACTTTAAGAATTGCAAGAGAAATACCTAGGAAACACCATTCTGGACATTGGCCTTGGGAAAGAATTCATGACTAAGTCCTCAAAAGCAATCACAATGAAAAAAAATTGATATGTTAATTAAAATTGATACATTAGTTACAAACTAAAGAGCTTCTGCATAACAAAAGTAACTATTAACAAGGTAAGCAGACAACCTACAGAATGGGAGGAAATATTTACCAAGTATGCATCTGACAATGGTCTAATGTCCTATAAGGTAATTAAACAATTG